CTTCCAAAGTTCTCATCAGAAACGATAATACGAAAATATTTTAAAGTTGAAAGAAGACAAAAGTAAGCAGTATTAAGAAATTAACAGAAGTTGTAAAATATCTTAATAAAATTGTCGTAACAGTGAGAAATATTTCGGTCCGTTAAGTCGTATATATTTCTTAAGTCAGTATTTGATTTATGACTTTTTCTGGCCTACTGAAGCTGTCTTCATGGTGCTTTGTACACTAAAAAGGTAGAAGAGTTCACAGATTTTCTGACTGTTATTTCACTAAGCAACAATTTCGATATCTAACGATTATTGGCTATCGATTCACAGTAGCTTAAAACCCGAAGAATTTTGGAAGATCTTGCCAAAACGAAGTTTTTCGAAGAAGTAACCCATTCTTAGAAAATTTTAATAAAAGAAGAGTCTTGCATATTTTCTAAGCGACACTTTGGCCAGTGTTTTTGTTTATGGTTAAAAACTTTGATAAGGGATATGTAGCTAATTCTGTAGTAAATGAATGTAATATGTTGCGTTTACGACTGTTAACTATAATGTACTAACTATACTGTCATAATTTAAAATGATAAAGCGTTAAGGTCATTTTTTAGAACGTGGTATTGAGAAACATTGTACGCCAGCGATTCCTTAACCCTCTCTGTGCTCGACTCGTGGCGTCATGCGAAACCGACATCGTTCCCGAAAATAACGAGGGCGATTGTGCAGATTCTTTTTTTTTTTGTTTTTCAAAAAAATAGCCAATTTGCTGATGAAAATACATGTGGAAGCGATAAAATGCATTTTTATGGGACGTCTGAAAATGAGGTTTTTGTTTTTCTGCTGAGCTGTAGTTTACCCCTCATTAAACATTAACAGTGGAAAGCAGGAAAAGAATTGTAATCATCTCAAAAGGCTTATTGGCATACGTTATTTCGAACGATACTAGTCCAATGCATTTCGAGCTCGAACATCGGCACCGGCTTCTGCACCTCATCTTTCAGCAGCGTCAAACGAGCTAACATTTCCGTTTTATCCTGAAAAAAAAAGAACTCGTAGAAGTAGCTCAAAACTGAAGAAACATAAAATTAAAAATCCGAAATCACTGAAATTAATACTTGAAATACAAGCCAGATGAGAAAAAATGAGCCTCACCTTGCCAAAGAATAAACTTCTTCTGCTGGTTGCGGTCGAGCTACGCACACGTCTCGTGCCAAGCACACCAATGTCGTCCTGCACCGGTGTCGACGGTGAATCCTCGGAACATGATGGCTCGTCTAGCGGAATGCTGGAAAAGAAATGTGTTCGCGAGTTCTCAACTACCAGATGTGCTTGTGAAAGAATTGGTGCTCTGAAGAAAGAACATCCATGTCCTTTTAAAATTTGATATGAAATTCGCATTTTTCAAGGAAGCAGCGGGTGATAATTGGAGGAGAAGGAGGAGGAGGAGAAGGAAGAGGAGCCAACTGAGGATCGGAGGGACGGATACGGCTGCATCCGGCGTTCCGGAGCATATTAATATATTAACAACATAGAAGATACCCATAGTGATAGGCCGGGCGGTCATGGCTTTTTTACTTTTCTAAGCAGTAAGTTTGAGGTATCCGTAATACTAAATTAGTGAAAACCTTGCTTTGAGGGCAAAGCAGGTAGCACTACAAACGCACTTCCCTCTCCTTTCAGCCTCCCTTCACTCTTCTTTTTAATTCGTCTTTTTTTTTTCAGAAGCCACCACATAAATACAAAAATTTCAGTAAATATGGCGGATCAGATTTGAAACACAAATTTTTGAGGACAAATAAAACACCATACAATGTTTTTTTAGGGACAGGGAAGAGAGGAGGTGGGCAATGGTAGAGGAAATAAGACACTTATCTGTCTAATTAACAGATGTAATTAAATTCAAAATAAACTAATAAAAATTTATTACGTAACCCCAAAAACTAAACAGGGCAAATGAGCACTCAAAACGTTAATATTATGTTTCCCTGGATTATCCCGAATGTGTCCGATGACCCAAAAACTATATGCGAGGAAAAAATCATGATACCATTAGCTAGGTTTTGGTTTATTATTCTCAAAAATTTAAAACTAAACAAAGCTCATATACTGTCAAGAGTATCTCTTTTAGACATGTATGCACAAATGCACACTCATGAGCAGCAAACTAAAAAAACAGACTGGTTTAAGGACATGCGATTTAACCGAATCTCATCCCTCTGCGGGTCTTAATCTCTGACCATTCATCACTGCGGACAATGCCTGCATTCTTCGGCAAGGATAAAAGACACAATTTAAGCATAGGTGATACCAAAGTGTTGGTTTTTTCCCAATTTTAGTTTATTTGAGCTACTTTATATCACCAAGATAAATTTCTGGATTTACTTCAAGCGTTCTTTTCCTACTCCATCAGGACAGTATTTCCGAGGCCTCCCAGTGATCCAGTAGGCTTCAATAAAACATCACATTGCTTTATTTCAGAATTTTGAAAAAAAAAAAAAAAGATTCATAAGAAGAGGAAAAATTATGAACAGAAGGGAAGGAGTGAAAAAACTGGGGCGAATGAACAAGATGCCCTCCGGCGCAACCCTGAGGAACAATTTGTTTCTTTTTAATTTTTACGATTTTCATATTGTCAAATTGCTTTGATAATCGGTTCAGTACTTCCTCGCTTTTGCTTCAGCCGACACTGCACATCCCGCAAAATACTGGGATAAATGGCATCAAAATTTTATTGTATTTTTTGAAAAGTTTAAAAAAGCTGCATACATTTATTTAATACAACTCTCGGAATAAGGAGCTGCTGACAGCTTTGCTAGCGGGATAAAGTGCTATTATCGCATAGGCTACTTTCGGGCGTTTCTGCCTCTCAAGTATATTACGTGAAGGAGGTTTGACTTATGTGGCGCTATTTCCGGATTGATTTACTTTTCGCGAAAGTTGAGGAGAAGTTCGTCGGGTGAGAAGGAATGAAAAAGAGGACCCACTAAGAGGCGCAAAATACCGCGCGGTAAAATGAAGATTTGCTGAACGAGGAAATTCAACTCAATAAATTCAAACACATCGGACTGCATTTTGCCAAGAAAGGGTGAGTCAAATTAAGATATTATAAAATGAAGAATAAATAATGCACTTTTCCTGAAGGGGACAGAGAGGAAAGGGAATGACGCAGCAAAGAAAAATTCCGAACCGTAGAAGGAGAGGAGACTGAAATATTTTTCAGTTACTAGCAAGTAGCTTTATAACAAAAAATTGGAATTACTGAGAGAAATCTTGAAAATTACATTATTTTCAAAAAAAAAAAAAAAAGAAAAAAGAAATTTCATAAATCCATTCTGTGCAGAATTAACACCTGGCCAGTGACGCACATAGGACGCTTCCTTGTGAGCACCTTCTACCTCAAAAATATTTTAAAATTCCAATGTATAATCATCAGCAAATGCTTTCCCCTCCCAACAGTCTATCATTATTTGTTCTCCCTCTATTCTTT